CACCACCTCGCCCGGCTAGTTTTTTTGTATTTTTTAGTAGAGACGGGGTTTCACCGGGTTAGCCAGGATGGTCTCGATCTCCTGACCTCGTGATCCGTCCGTCTCGGCCTCCCAAAGTGCTGGGATTACAGGCTTGAGCCACCGCGCCCGGCCGCAGAATGTCTTTCAATTCGGGTTTGTGTGATGTTTCACCGGGGTTAGGTGTAGGCAATGCATTTGCAGAAGGACAATTTAGAAGGGAAGGATTCTGTGCGCACCCCAGCATCCCCTCCCCCGACCCCATGCATCACATCAGGGGCATCTGATGTTAGTTTGTTCCACTCTGGGGATGCTGAACAGCTGCTTGGTGAAGGTGGTATCTTCCTGCTCTCCCCAGCCTAACGGCATCTTTTCGCTCAGTAATCGATGCAGAATCTGAGGACTGATGCTTTGAGACCATGGTGAAACCCCTGTTTCCTGACAACTTACCACCCTAGGTATTTCGCATCCGCCGGTGATTCGTGCCTGAACCAGTTATTGCTATGGTAGCTGCAACAGTCTCTTAACTGGTTTCTCATCCTTCAGCCCCTCCCTGCTCCAACTCCTCCTTTGCACCTTTGACCTAGGGAACTTCCTAAGGCACAGGTTCAATTACATGACTTTCCTCCTCCAAAAAACCTTCAGTGGCTCCCTACTGCTTAGAGAAGAAAGCCCAAACTCCTTGACTAAGGCCAGGCACAGTGGCTCACTCCTGTAATCCCCAGCCAGGAATTTGAGACAAGCCTGGCCAACATGGTGAAACCCCGTCTGTACTAAAAATACAAAAATTAGCCAGGCGTGGTGTTGCAAGCCTGTAATCCCAGCTACTAGGGAGGCTGAGGCAGGAGAATCACTTGAACCCAGGAGGCGGAGGTTGCAGTGAGCTGAGATGGCACTACTGCATTCCAGCCTGGGCAACAGCGTGAGACTCTATCTCAAAAAAATAAAAATAATAATAATAGGCCAGGCGTAGTGGCTCGCGCCTGTAATCCCAGCACATTAGGAGGCTGAGATGGACAGACCACTGAAGGTCAGGAGTTTTGAGACCAGTTGGGCCAACATGGTGAAATCCCATCTCTACTAAAAATACAAAAATTAGCTGGGCATGGTGGCGGGAGCCTGCAACCTCAATTACTTGGGAGGCTGGGGCGGGAGAATCGCTTGAACTGGGGAGGCGAAGGTTTCAGTGAGCTCAGATCGCGCCACTGCACTCTAGCCTGGGCAACAGAGTGAGACTCCGTCCCCCCCAAAAAATAATAATAATAATACAGTAGGTAGCATGGTTCATTGTGGCTGCTCCACCATGACATGGGAACTGTTACTATTATTAACACTCAGGCCACCAAAGTAAGCCATACCCAAGGTCCCAAATGGCCAGTGAGATGGCTATCTGGGGGGGCCCCAGGCCATCACCATGGGAACCAACCTGGCAGAAGGACTCACCCTCCTTTTTCTGGCCTGCAGTGTCTCCTCCCACAGGGGACCTGGTGAGGAGAGACGGAGCCTTTTGGGAGCTGTCAGCTTTCGGCCCCTCCTGAGGTCTCCTAGGGATCATCACTGCGAGCTCGTCCCAGTTGGGGGCCTCCTCCTGCCTCTCAACAGTGTCCCAATCCTGCCAGAGAAGGGGAGGAGAAAGTATGTTTGTGGGAGAAGAAAGGCTGCAGGACGTATACTCCCCAAATGAGAGGGGTAGAAGGAAGGGAAGAGAATTGACATTAAAAAGCACTTCCCTGGTCGGGTGCGGTGGCTCACGCCTGTAATCCCAGCACTTTGGGAGGCTGAGGTGGGCGGATCACAAGGTCAGGAGATCGAGACCATCCTGGCTAACACGGTGAAACCCCGTCTCTACTAAAAA